CAGAACGTTACTTTCACCCAGGCAGGAGTAGGTTACAATCTCCATCTCGCCTCCAACAACAAATGGAAACGAGTCTGGTCGGAGTATTGTAAAATCTCAACATGCTCGCAATAATTCATAGTGTTGCGAGGTCTCCTGGATCATAGGGTGAATGTGAATTTCGCGAAGACTAGTCTTCTCTTTAGGCATATTTTAAAGTGGGCTCATTTATGCTTTCAATGAAAACTGTGTTCAATCTCAAAAATATACATAAAATTAAGTTTCGAAGAATTTACCAGAAATATATATTATGACATGACTTTTGAATTTTGAAATAAAGTTTCTAAAGGGAATTCGTGATGAGTCCTCACCGGATACGACGCCCATGAAGATGTGCTTCGCTTTCATCTGTTCCGCCGTGACGGACAGAGCAAAAATATACCAAGACGGTGTGGACCCCGGTATGGCCGCAGTCTCTTTTCGATGTATTGAAGTGGGTTGAATTCGTTGTCGCAACTTGGTCTTGTTTTCAGGGCGACTTAGTAGAACGCACCTAGTCCAAAGTCGTTCTTCATAGTAGTTGTCACGACTCCCAGCATCTGTTAGTGGACTTGGTACATTCGCAAACGTTTCGTCGACAGCATCATTGAGTGCTGCCATTCCTAGAACCAAGCTACGAATTCGTCAAAGAGACAAACATTCTGCCAAAAACGGTTACACCATCACTCCTCTTTCTCTACTGGCCTATCTATCTACTCTTTACCCTCATATTAAACTCGCTTTCAATAAAAAATGCTTACTTGTTTACATTCCACTCGTCAAAATGTGTGTTATTTTGTGACAAAATCTAGTTTGGCCGTATCACACCAGCTATTCACCCTAAACCCCTCTCTTTAGATCGGCAGTCCCACTCGGGCCTCCTGTCCCGATCTTGCTCATGATCCGATAGATCCGTTCTTTATCTTTTTTGGTTGACTGATATCACTCGATTCCAGTCCCAGTGTGTGTTTCACTCCAGGCGCCATTTCTCAAGACCTTAGAAGCATGTCGTACACTGCAGCGTCACCGAGCAGAGCGCCTAGACTGTGATTCCCATGCTTGTAGACTTGTGAAAAGTGTTAATTTTTCTTTCATGCCCACCGGAACATTCCATTTTCTTAACATTGGACGTCGTTTTTGCGTTATTTCGCAGAAGGTTAGGCCTATCCAGTTTTGTGAATCCTTCTACGTCCTTACTGTTCCTTCATAGTCCCCGTTCTGCCATCAGTTTTTCTGGGTTGGTATGCTTCTTTGCATTACTTCGCTTGGGTAACCGCTGTCTAGGACGAGTGAAATGTAAAAAAGTCAGAAGTCCTAATAATATGGGAGTGGAATAAGAGGGTAAAGAGTTGATAGATGGCCAGTACAGAACGAGGTGTGATACAGCAACCGTATCGGCAAATCGTCGTCTTGACGAGCTTGTAGCCTGGAGCAGAGAAATGGCAGAACTCATTGACGATACCGGCGAAACGCCTGAGAATGTGGCAAGTCCACGGTATGATGCTGGGAATTGTGAGTATTACTATGGCAAGGTGTGTTCTACTAAGTCTCCCCGACAATAAGACCGAGTTGCGACAACAGGCCAACCCACTTCTTTAAGTGAAGAGCCGCCTAAAAAATGCAACGAGTCAATTAATCTTTCATTCTAATTACGGTGACTTTGCTGTACCTTTTTATTCTACACTTTCTCTCTCATATGAAGACAAAAATCGCATCACCTTAACCAGACGTGTGTCCAGCATTATGCCATCGTAGAGCCGATTAAAGTATAGAAAAACGGAAAAATGTTAAATTATATTCTAATTAATTACTCCGAATTAGCACTGCCGGTTTCATACAGATAGAAACACATACAGGCACACAAACGAACGCACCAAAATGCTTTGAGATCGACATAAAACTTGGACTAACCAAATCTTTTTATATCTCGTCAAAAAGGGTATAGATTGGTGAGTTTCTTTCACTCTTAAGCTTGAATTTGGTTGTAAAAAGGATACCTTGCTCTGATGGTGTCTGTCAGTTGATGGACAAGAGCTTAACACGTTTCAACTGGAATTGAAGCAGATTGCCTCGGATACAAGAATGTTCCAGTAACGCCCATCACAAGTTGGGCAAGTAGATTCCTACCTCACTTTATGGTGAGATCCATCTTCGAATCTCTTCATCATGCACAAAAATACACTTTTACCCGAAATGGAAGTGAGTTTAGCAATTGTTAGATTTTACGGTCCAAATCAAACTCCAGATTCATCACGCCTCCTCTTCCAGTTCCCTCTGCCTCTACTTCTCACTCTATCTCTCTCGATCTCCTCTTGGCACGCTCCTTCTCCAACCCTTTCTTCCTATGCCTCTCCCTTGCTCTCATTTTTCTTCTCTTTTCTCCTCCTCTCGTTTCTTCTCCGTCTCTACTCTCTCTTCCTCTCCAGTTACACCATCTCTCTCTTCTTTTCCCACTTTGCCCCTCTCTTTCTTTCACTCTCTCTGTACCTCTATCTCGAAATCTCTCTCGCTCTCTATCAGTTTCCTTCTCTGATATCCATGAGCTATTTCTTCTCAATTTTCTACTCACCTTTCTAATATTCAGGATCTCAGATGCTTTGTCTATATTGAAGTATGTTTATTAGGAAAACTTTACATTTTGTTCCATTCACTATGGGTCTCATCAACTGGACAAATGCCAATCATCTCAACTTCTCGGACCCAACCTTGGCGGAAGGTTTCAAGCTCAGATGATCCGTTCCGGTCGCATCTGCTGACCAAACTAAAGTAGCCATCACCGCATGCATAAGAAACTCTGAAATATCGGTATCTTGATGTAAAAAATTCACAAAAATATAAGCATAATTGAAAAAAGGTTTAGTCTAACTTTATGCATCCGGAGCTGACTAGAGTGGCCTATCCTCCTGTTCCGCTCTAACTCGCTGTTTATCTGCATTCTATTTATTGTCGTAAGGACTTTCATTTCGTATGGAATTATATGATAATGAAATTCGTAAGCCAATCTCACCAGAAGTCGCCAGCTTGTACTGCAGCTGTATCCATCTATACCCTAAATTTGTCCTGCAACGAGTGTCTCTGTCATAAAGAAAAAGTCATTCTGTCTTCTTTGCTTGGGGTTAACTTGATGCTTTTACAAAAAATGAATGTTGGCGCTGAGGATATTCGTCATGTGGCATGACGAACGAATACTCAGCCCGTCTTCGCCCGAAACGTTGAAGGATGCCTCGTAGACTGCATCAACCTGAACATGGTATAAATGCCAAATGGCTGCATTACAACTCGAATCATCCGGCGGTTTCCGTTGAGATTTACCTGAGAATCGCTTCATCACG